TATAAGATTTAATCCTGTTGCGGGCTAGAATATACGCGACGATAGAGTTAGTAAATTTCCGTCTCAGTGTTGTACGAATATCCAGCACACAAACATAAAAGAAATGGAAACACCAGCATTTTTACGTGGAAACCCTAAAAGGGAAAAAACCACGGGGTCTCGCCCAGTTGAAATAGTTCCACTAATGTTTTGTTTGAGATACAAGAGACTGGCTCGTCCACAAAGTTAGGACGATCAGATTACAATGAATCTATTCTAAATTGAGATTCAATTACAAAGTTGAGCAGAGTTCCAGCGTCGTTCCGAAGTTGAGTAGAATTCCGCATCACTCAGGCGCTCGAAAAAATTCTGGCGTCACTCGGACATCGTGCAGAACTCTGGCGGTGGTCGAGGATGAGTTATTCCCTCCTATCCTTCTCTTCTCTTCTTCTCTTCTTCTTGCTTGGGGTCCCCTCTCATGAGAAATGAGGGGTCTATTTATAAATTTCCTGAAGTGGCATAGCTTGTAAATAGGTGTGAAATCGTGGGCAAATAGAGAGTGCTCGAATGGACGGTTGATATTGAATCCCTTGATCATGCACAGTTCTTCAGACATTTGAAGGTCTTAATGATGTCAGAATTCGACGATCTTGGGCTCGTTGGATTTGTCTCGTCGAGCCGTTCGATTCGACTATAAGCTCGTTAAAATCAGGGACTGTTTGGTAACTCAAATTGTGGTATGAACTTTCCAACAACACTTTGGGTGCTTGATTTGGGCTCATTTGGGCTCGGAATGAGTTGAATTTGGTGTCATTGGGTTTGTATTTCCGAGACGCTCAGTTTGATTATAAGTTTGCTGAAATTGGAGTTCATGTGATCCCGGATTTAATTTTTGAAGTTTCCGGATTGATTTTGCCTCGAGATTCGTGCCCGATCAAGATAATTTTTTGATGATATATCAAATCCTAAATTTCTCCAATGATTTATTAGAAGTTGACTGAATTTTAGTTCTAATAAGTTCAAGATTTAACCTACTCACTGGCTAAGATAAGTGACCACTAAAGCCTTAGCAACAACATTCAGGCAGCAATTTCCATTCAAGAGTTTCTACTGCAATGCAACATATAGGAGACGGAGAGGAAGTTGAATGTCAGGGGAGGTATCACGAGCAAGCCACAAAGAGCTAGGGGTAGAGCAAGCAAGCAAGAAGGTTCCATCTTTTCTCATCATGCGACAGAGAGGAACAAAAAGAGAGAGAGAGAGAGAGAGAGAGAGAGAGAGAGAGAGAGAGAGAGGGGAGTTATCAAATGCAGATGGGAGCAAGTTGATGACTGAAAAGAGCATGTTAGGTTTCATGTGATGAATTTAGGTATAATTTATATCATTAGAAAATTCTTTAAGTTATAAGAAAAATAATAAAAGTATTCACTTAATTTTAATATAATGAAATAAGATATAATTTTTAAATATTTTTAACAGCTTTATACTTAAATACATTTTATGTTATTATTTTTTAAATAAGCCTGCGCACAAACTAACAAGTCAAGTTAGGGCTGGTTCAAGCCTAGCTTGTTAGATCATCGAGCTCAGCTAATGAGCCATTTACCATTCTATGCCCGAGCCAGCTCATGAGTCGACATAGTTCATTTAAAAATACTATGATCTTTTAAGTAATTGCCCACATCATAATTAAACACATTGTGTATAGATGTTATTGTTAGGGAACGATGAACCAAATACAAAAAGAAAGGCTAAAAAGAATTCAAAAATATCCTTACAATCAAAATTTAGGCAATTGCCCCCTGCTCGAACCCCGCCAGGGGGCGCTGCCCCCTTAGACCTCTAGCATATCTATAAAATCTCTACACTTTTACTAATATATATGGGGCAAAGATATATTTAATTTTTTTATTGAGAAATGGATCAAAACAATCCCTCAAACTCTTTAGGAGATATCAAAATAGTCTACAATTCTTTTGAGTGACCAATTTGATCCCTTAACTATGTAAAATGAAACTTTTTTTGTCATATTTTAAAGAGTTTAGAAATCAAATTGATCCCTCTAAAGAATTAGGAACAATTTTGATCTCTCACAAAAATTTTAGAGACCATTTGATTTTTTTTTTTTTTAAGCTTTGTGTATTTATGATAGTTGCATTTTTTTTTTTATTTGTAGTTGTTTTGTGCTTAGGATTGTTAGTCTTTCGTGGTAAGTTGTGAATATTTCATAATTATTTTTAAATCTATTATGAGTTTGTGATTTTCTAGGCTTGTATACTTGTTACATGTCACTTCTTTAATAGTTAAAGCACATCATTACTAATGGATGCAAAATAATTTAGTGGTTGTTTGATTTTTCTTATTGATTTTTAAATTTATATCAATTTTTTTCAACTTAAATATGAAGCAAATTGATAGGAAATGAAAATAAATAAATATTCAATACGAAGCAAAAAAAAATAGCATCCTAAACGAAAATGTATATATCAAGCGTTTCATAAATAGATAGGAGAGAAATTTGGCAAAAGGAAATGAAAAATAAATAAATAAATAAATAAATAGGAAATGAGTCATAGATAAACTTATCTATTAATTTCCTCTCTCCATATTATATCTATGGTTAAATATTCTGTCGACGAAGTTGATTTATTTAGCCAAATAGACTGGACCAGGAAAAATGGCAATATCTATGTACTCCTAATTGACTTAAACGGACTCAGGCTTTGTTTGGATGACTTTCTTGCTGCTTTTTAAAAAAAAATTTTAATATAAAATTTTTAATTTTTTACTAAAAAGATTCTTTCAGAAGCAGTAAAAAAGCCATCACAAACGAAGCTTTAGATTCGTTTAAGACAACTTTTGTATTGTTTAATAAAGTGATTTTTAATACAAAAGTTTTGTTCTTAAAAACTACTTTAAAAAATAGTAATAAAGTTGTCTCAAACGAAACATTAATTTTTCTCACAAATACTCAAGTTCAACATATTGGATGATAAAAAATATAGGCTTCCCCCCAAAATAATAAAGATAAAAATATAGGATTGATACATCATCAAAAAATTATCTTGATCGGGCACGAATGTCTAGGCAAAATCAAGTTGGAAACTTCTGAAATTAAAATTGGGATCATTCCAACTCTAATTTCAGCAAACTTGTAGTTGAACTGAGCGTCTCGTAAATACAAACCCAACGACACCAAATTCGGCTCAATCCGAACCCAAATGGGACCAAATCAAGGGTCCGAAGCGTTGTTGGACGGTTCAAACCACAATTTGGATTACCAAACATGATGTGCTTATAGTCGAATCGAGCGGCTCGACGAAACGAATCCAATGAGCCCAAGATCACTAACTTACGACATCACTAAGACATTCAAATGTCCATCAAATGGTCCATGATCAAGGGATTTAACATCGGCAGACCATCCAAGCCACTCCCCATATGCCCTTGTTCTCCCACCTATTTAAGGGTCATGTCACTCTAAGAAATCTATAAATAGATCCCTCCACCCTCTTGAAAGAGGACCCAAGCAAAAAAGCAAGAGAGAGATCGGAGAACGCTCTTGCCTCCTCGCTCCTCGACCATCGCCTGGAGTTCCGCCAGACAACCACTTGATGCCCTGAGCTCCACCAGACCACCACCTTAGGCCCGGAACTCTGCCAGATCACCACATGAGGCCCGGAGTTCTGCAGGACCACCACCTGATCCTCGAAATTCTGCCGGACGACCACCTCAGGCCCGGACTTCTGCCGGACCACCACCTGAGGCCCGGACTTCTGCCAGAACACCACCTAAGACCCGGACTTCTGCCGAACCACCACCTGACGCCTGGACTTTTGTCGGACCACCACCTGAGAACCGAACTTCTGCCAGACCACCACCTAAGGTTAGGACTTATGTAGGACCACCACCTGACACCCAGAGTGCTCCCAGAGTATCGCCCTTCTACTACGATCTTTTTTACCTCAGTCTTCTGCCGAGTATGATCCTTTCGACCTCCATCACCAGACAACGGTCTTTCTTACCCCGGTATTCTGCCAACTTTGGTCTTTCAGACCCTGTCTCCTGTTGACTATGGTCCTTCAAACCTCCATCACTAGACAACAATCTTTCTGACCCCAGTCTCATGCCAACTACGGTCTTCGGACCCCTATCTCCTGCTGACTATGGTCCTTCCGGCCTCCATCGCCTACTATAGTTCTTCCGACCTCCATCGCCAAACAACGATCTTTCTAACCCCAATCTCCTGCCTACTAAGATATTTCCGACCTCTATCCTATCGACTATAGTTCTGCTGACCAAACAAACATGTCTATGTAATTCCCACCATTAATGCGCTCTATATGATGTACCTTTGTGACATCAATCTAAGGCCTTCTTCCAATGAATGGCCTCATTTGTAATCGACTGCAAATACTAGAGGATTCATTCAAACTGGGTCAGGCCCCATGATTTTTCCCCCTTTCAATGGTTTCCATGTAAAAACTCTGATATCTCTTATGAACATTACACCCTCTCCTTTCATCTGCTTGTGTGCTGGATCTTCGTACAATGCTAAAACATTAAACTATATATTTCTTTACCGCCGCGAATATTCCAGGACACAACAAGGACATTTGAAATTTGTTGGATACTTCAATCGATTCAGACCTGACTAGCAATGTGAATTCTTTTTCGAAGATTGAACCTAAAGCCTAAGATTTCGTTTAGGACAGTTTTTGACCACTGTTCTTTTTATGCTTCCAAAAAATTTTGTGCTAAAAAACTGTTGTAGAAAATAATATAAAATTTGTCCCAAACGAAACCTAAACCCATCCAACTCTATTGTTCTCATTCTGCATCATGAAAAAAAAAAACAAACAAACTTGTGTGCCCTAAGAAAAGGTCAAGGACAGGTCGAATGCCAAAGTCTATGCTTGCTACTTATCGTGCTGTGCAGAGACGTGTTGCTAATGATAAAAAGACAAAAATTGATTTGCAAATAAATAAAAAACTCTTAAGGAAAGAAACGATGAGAAGACCTGTTATTGGCAAAGCAGAGCTGCAGACCTGCAAAATAGCACCAGAATTATCAGATGCGACACCTTTCCTTCATAACAAAAGCACAACAAGACCAGTTCTCAGTATATACATTATCCTCTCCAGAAAACTAATTGTGTCTAAACTGCACCAGCAGAAAGCAAAGTCCAATGTATAAAATACCTTAAATATATCGTCCAGTTTGTTTGTAGACAATTCAGGCAAAAATAATAACTAGCTTTATGCAATTGTGAAGAATGATTATAACTGCCACTCTAACGACTATATCATCTACTATTCTGTCCATCTTATTGATAAGTACAGTAGTTAAAAGAACACAGAATCAAAAAACCTCCCTGAATTAGTTTTTAACACAAGCAGATGATGATTGACGATGTTACATTAAGAAGCAACCTTTGTTATTGGATATTTCAGATTGTAGAAGGTCACCCTTTCTGCCATTGCTAGATCTTTCATCTTCCCCAAAACATCCAATGTACAGGTCGGTTTCTGCTTCTTTGTGCTGATTATTGTTATCATAGAGAGCCACCAACCGTGTGGAATCTAAGATTTGCTGGGTCTCCTTGCACTTCAAGCCAAAAAAATGTCCTCATCATTTAAGTGTAATTTTTTGTAGGCAACTTGCTTTTGTGAAGTGAACTTACTTGATTCTGTACCAATTCATTTTCCTCTGACAACACCCTCGTCTGCATTTAATGGGCAAATATTGAAAACTTCTGTGTAAACCCGAATTCAAATTTGTTTATTGATTGTGCGTACCTTTTCTTTAAGGTGTGTTACCTGCCCTGATAGCAAGCGAATCTAGAAGAAAAAAAGTGAAATTATGTTAAAAATAAATGAACTTGGAACTGTTGCAGTGATGCCGGAAATGAAAAGAAATGTCAGTATCATTAACCTTTATTCCTCTAATGTTGCCTAGGTCTTGTTCAAGCTGACCTTCTAACTTATTCAGATCTTCCAATGAGAGGGACTCCAGGTTTTCGCCCATCAGTTCACTGAAACATTAGTCTTAACAGTGATGCGAAGTTCAAGCAGCTAGAGGAAAAATTCATACATCTTTTTTCTTCTAGTTTTTAAGTGGAATATAGGAAAAAAAGGAAATTCGTGACCAGATCCTCACCGATTGGAAGCTTCAAGGAATTCAAACTTCTTTGCATTTAGAGTTGCTTCCTGCTTCCAGTGCTGCACTTCAAACAGATCATATCAAAATATTCACCAGGAATCTGTGCACACATAAAAATTTATTTGGACCAATTTTTATGGGTGGACTAATCAATTTTGGTAGCAATTTTAACAGTCAAGCAAAGTTCAAGCATAATGAAAATGTCGTCCGCTTTTGTTTGAAAAATTTGCATTGGTCCACCACATTAAGTGCGTACATGCCTTGAGTTTGTGTAAATTTTTTTTGCAGTATAGTATCTCATAATGTACGCAGACAGTTTCACAAAATTCGATGAAGAAAAAAAATGTTCATTGCATACGTTTTTTTTTTCCATTTTATGGAGAAGTTACGTGGGTTTCATAGATTCGCCACTGTAAAACTTCGTCTCACTGTTATGCTAATTAGTGTCACAAAGGTGCTCTAATTATTTTGTACGGAATCCGGACGGGATGAACCACCCGAACTGTGAGGGTATACACTGTAAATAATAATTTGATATACATTGTGAACAAATTTGTACACAATATGTACACTTACATGTCCGGACCGTTCTTCCCGTCCAAACTACCATCCAGACTCCGCACAGAATAATTTCTCCATAAGATGAGGGCTAATGAGATCATTTTTTGGAAGAGAATTTCACAAATCACAGAAACAAAGACAAAAAAAGATTGAAGGGAGCAATCTTTTATGGAGGAATAATGAAAGAGCAAAGAATAGCAAGCTCATTGTTAACCATTGAAGGCTAAACATTGCAGAAATTGATAAAGCATTGTAAGGATAAATTAGCAAATTAGTTGAATGAACTGATCTTTTTACCTGAATATTTTGCTCAGCTGCAATTATTGCGGCTCAAGTCTACCAGGTCCATTTTATAACGCTAGAAGGTATTTTGCATGCTAATGCATTTTAAAGAAAAACGAAAAATTTTGATTATACTCTGCTTGTTGCATAAATAATCAGAACGAGTCAAAAGCATGCTGTACCACTATGCCTATAGAGATGAGAGCGCACGTGCGGGATGGGGGAGTGGATTTAATCAGGAGGCCAAGAAAATTAATTAAATTGAAAGATATTTAATCAGAAACATAAGACCCGTATATAATAACTCCAAAACAATTATTCTGTATCAAAAAATAACACTCAAACACATTACTAGTCCCAAGAAAAAATTATGTTATCTTGTATTTTTTCATCAAATGACTTTCATATTTACTAATATGTCTGTCTTCCTAACCAAAAAGCATGAACTAGTGCTCCTGAACACAAATTTATCTTTATTTGTATGATTCTATTTTCAGTTATTTTCCAACCACGAAAGATCACATTGGAAATTTGAGTATAATATGTGACCTTTTAAATAAATATTCACTAACTACCAGGGGCGGAACCAGCCCTAATTTTCAGGGGGGGCAAACTTATAAGACATATATGTTGGGGTCCAAGGGGGCAGTGTCTTCTGACGGAGTTCAACCTGTTGGGGGCAATTACCTAAAGACCATAGTATTTTAAAATTTTTAGGGGGGGCAATTACATGAAAACCCTTGTAATAAAGACTAAAAAATGAATAAAAATGGGTAAATTACCTAAAAAACCAATATAAAAAAATTTTAAAAAAATTTTGAGTGGGGGCAACTGCCCCCCCTGGAACCTATTGGGTTCCGCCCATGCTAACTACCCACATGAAATTTGATGTGCAACGTCCCTAATAGCCTTCTTACCTTTAAATAACATCACGGCTATTTATCTACAACCTTCCTTGTATCCAATTTATAATTAAAAAAAATTGGAATGATTTACAAACATCACGGCTATTTATCTACAACCTGCCTTGTACCCAACTTATAATTAAAAATTTTGGAATGATTTCTATCCTACAAAAAAACACAATACTCTAGGAAAATCTAGATGATTCATCTTATCTACAAAAATGAATTATAGCAGAATGTTAAAAATTTATAAGATTTTGAAATGATTTGATTAATATGCTTCTAGTATACAGACATGGCATACTAAATCAACCTCAATAATGAGATAAATTATTAAAAACTTAATTATTTAGTAGCAACCATATCAAATAAATTATAACAAGAATGAAAACTGTGACAACTAGCATAATATCATAAGCTTTAATATAAAAACAGGTACTTAAGCAAGTTTATAAAAATTATTTATTTTCCATAAAACTAGTCTTCGACGAAAGATTTCGAAAATTTGATCAAATTAGGTCATCAAGTGTGGGCTCCAAAATTTTGTGCCCTAGTCCCTCCGCATATTTGGAAAGAGTTTTAACTTTTAATAGATTATGTTTCAGGCCAATTTTTTAACAGCATATTAGGTTACATATCTGACATTACCTAGTGATGTCATCCTCATTTGCGAGGACTTTACAATTTGAGTTTAAGTTTCCCATAAACGAAAAAGCCTCTATGATTAATTATCCCTCCTGGTGATGGGGGAGTGCTTTCAATTAAAACTAGTCGTTGGATATGCATCAAATACCTAGTATATAGTAGCAACGAATTTATTTAAATTTAATATTTAGGATTAGAAATTTACCCAATTTTCACTTAAAGCGGGTGGTGAGGGAATGATAATGAACCTGATCAAGATCCAATGATTTCGCATCACAGATTGTCATGGTTCATAGTTTACACTGTCAGAGGAGATAATTAACCAAACCTAACTAAAAGATTCTTATCGGTAGCCATGAGTTGCTTCATTCAATGGCACCTTATAAACTTTGGGTGAATGTTTGTCTAAGGGACAAATTTAAATCGATTTTAGCTAACAAGGTTTTGTACCCTCTCAAATCTGTCATATGATTCATAACTCAAAGATGTTAGCAATTAGGAAACATATGGACTCTAATTGTGACCGTAAATAATGACAACTATCTTAAGCAAAACCGAACGTTTAGAGGGCCCCTGTCATTACCATTTAACTATGGAGCCAATTAGATCAAACAATTGATTAGAGGATGTGTGACACATAATTACTGATGAGAGATTGTTTGAGAATTAATCATAATAATATTCTTAATTGAACATTCATTCTTTGTGAGTTAAAATTATTCTTAAATTCATTGCCCTCGCAAAACAATTGCACAGGGTAGATGAATTTTATTTTAAGTTATAAATGATTAAGTTTCACTTTAAATATTTTAAAATTTTAAAAATATAAAAAGATTATAACAAATTTTTGATATATTTTGAGAATTAATCCCTACGATTTAGATATAATTTCAACACGGCCAATTAAAAGTATTTGTATTTCATCGAAGTTTAAAATATTTAAAAAAACAATAGAGCATTTGATTTAAATTTGCTTTGAACACGGTCATCTTCAGAGATTTATTAAAATTATTTTAAAATGTTTGCATTTGATAATTAAAAATGGACCCCTTTGGTTCAGATTCACTTTAAATATAATCATCATCGAAGTTTTAAAAGGAATTTTATTTTACTATTAGAATCTTGTCTACGAACATAAAACAAACATCTTTGTTGATCACGATCGTATATTCATTCATTAATTCAAGTCATGTCAACTCCAATCCAAAGAGGAAGACTGGACTTGAATTTTAAATTCAAAATAAACCCACACATCATTCTCGAACATTGGGTTTAAGAGTTTGATGCAATGGTCGGACACATGAATAATTATTTAAAAAAAAAGGATTTCAATTTAGCTCGCTTTTAACCCCACCTACCCAATAATTCATAACTCAAAGATGTTATCAATTAGGAAATATACGGACTTTAATCATGACCGTAATATAGTGACACCTATCTTAGACAAAACCAAATCATTAGAGGACCCCTATCATAATCGTTTAACTATGGAACCAATTAGGTCAAACTATCAATTAGAGGATGTGTGATACATCCTTACTAATGAGAGATTATTTGAGAATAAATCTTAATAATATTCTTAATTGAGCATTGGTCCTTTATGAGTTGAAATTATTCTTAAATTCATTGTCCTTGCCAAACGATTGCAGAGGGTAGATGAATTTTATTTTAAGTTATAATTGATTAAGTTTCACTTTAAATATTTTAATTTTGATAAATATAAAAAAAATTATTTAAAATTTTGATAAATTTAAAGAATTAACCCCTACAATTAAGATTTAATTTCAAAATAGCCAATTTAAAATATTTGTATTTCATCAAAGTTTAGAGGATTTTAAGCAAATAGAGTATCTTGTTGATATTTACTTTTAACATGGCCATCAACAGGGATTTATTACAGTTATTTAAAAATATTTTCATTTGTAATGTGAGTATTTGATAATTAAAAATGGAGCCTTTCGGTTGAGATTCAGTTTAAATACAATCATCATCGGAGTTTTAAAGTAATTTTATTTGATTATTCTAATCTCTTATCGACAAACATAAAACAAATATCTTCATTGATTTCATGATAATCTATAAATTCATTAATTCAAGTCCTGTCAACTCCAATCCAAAGAGGAAGACTGGACTTGAATTTTAAATTCAAAATAAACCAACACAACTTTCTCAGACTTTGGATTTAAGAGTTCGATGCAACGGTCATACACGTTAATAATTAGTTTAATTCAAGTCCTATCGTTTTTTTCAACCGCATTCATCAGAATTGATCGCAAGAGGTCTTTCTTGGGTAATTTTTATGTTTTGCATGCAACAACGCAATTCATTTCCAGATGAGACAATGTTTTATGATTTTCATGCAACTCCGCTCTTATAGACCATCATTGTTCGATTAAGTCACATGCAAACAGCTTTTCTTTGTTAAATTTGGCGTCTTGAATGTGTCTATATGATTCGCTTAACAAACTAACAAAGTTTGGGTGATTTTGACAACAATCGAAGTGCTTCGATTCGTGTTTTGTGTTTCGTGTGATAGTGCGACATTTGAAGCCTGCTACATGCAACATGGTTTCGGTTGGTCATCCTTCATGTCAAACTTGCTCGGATTTGATTTTGGCATGCATATGAAGGTCAACATCGAGTTATGCTCAAATTTTAGGGGAACACATTATGTTTGAACAAAATAACATCAAGAATTAAATTTTAA